GGAGCGGATGCGCAAAGAAATGACGTGGGAGGAGGGGAGGGGCGATACCGAGTGGTGCTCACGGTGAAAAACGGCAGCGGCTCGGCATACGTCGACGGGCAGCTTGTGGGGAGTTTGGTAGGGAAACCTCCATCTACTGAGCTGTTTCCTCCGCATCTGCCTCCTCGCGAGCAAACTCCGCGTGAGAAGCCGCCGGAGAGGGTCTCGCACATCTTCTTTGGGGCCTATGGGGGCGGCGAAGAAAACGCAGAGTTCCACGTGACGCTGACGAACGTCTTTCTGTACAGCCGGCTGCTGAAGGACGCGGAGCTGAAGGCGCTCGTGACGGAGAAGCCCAGCGCCCCGGCAGAGGAGGCGCCGACGTCGGCCACTGCGCAGGGAGGGCCCGGAAACGCATCAGTCGCCGGTCAGGGAGGCAAAGACAAGCGCGACAGTTCCGTGCGTGGGCATCTGTCTGCGGTGTCGCTGCTGCCGCTTCTGCTGGGGCTGTGGGCGTGTGTGTCGCTCCTCTGAGCCGGAGAACACGACAGCGAGGGAGGAGGCGGTGCGACCCGCGCTGAAGTGTGTGCAGAGTGTGTTTGACCTTCGTTGATTGTTCTCTTCAGTGCAGTCCCTTTTTTCTTTTCTTCTTATGTTAAATAATTCTTGCTTTCTTTTCTTGCTTACACTCTCGCTGTGGAGGGGGCGAGAGCTCCCCGCGTGGCTGCTTGCGTCTCTGCCCAGTGCACGCAGGCGGGGGACGGTGCACCGCAGCGATGGGGCGCGCAGGGGGTGACGCGTGGCCCGCGAAGGACACCACGCACACCGAAGGGGCTGTGAGGTATAAATGACCGGTGCGACCGTGAGGAGGAGTGCAATGAAGCGAAATGTTCACCGCCTTTGCTTTTGCCGCGTGCAGAAAATGCACGCGCAGTTTTGCGAAGCCACGCGACAGCTCGCTGCCGCTTCACTTTCTTTTCCTTGGGGAGGAGACACTGTGGAGGGAAGTAATTTTTCTTTTGGGGTTTGTGGGGGATTTATGCATGACGCAGGACGATTTTTTTTCTCTCTTTTTTCTTCTTTGCTTTTTTTCATATTTCCCGTGGCTGGCCGCCGCTTGGGCTGCGGTGCCGGCTCCGGCCTCAGTTGTTGCTTCATTTCCCTTCCTGCGCCTCTGCCGTGCGTGTGTGTTTGTCTGTGTGCCGCCACACGCCTCACTCTTCTCCCTCTTTGTGTTGCGTGCATGCAGGCACACACACACAACCGACGTGCACGCGGTGCGCCTGTAGTGCCGTGCAGGTGGATGGCCTTTCCGCAGCCTGCGCTGGCAGTGCCGTGTGCGGCTGCGGTTTCCTCGCGGGCCGTGAAGAGAAGGGAAGGAAAACGCACAGCATGAGGGGGAGTGCGCTGTGGCTAACTCGTTTTCCTTGCGGGAGCCGCCTCATTTGGGTGGTGGCTTCTGGCCCACTTCCCGTGTGCATGTGCGTGTGGGGGCGGCTGCGCTTCGCTGCTCCGTCGTGGGTGCCTGCTGGCGTTGTGTGCGTCTTTCTTGCGTGGCTGCGTGGAGTTGCTCGGCTGCCGCCTTTTTCTTCTTGCCACCTGCTCTCTTCGCTGTCTCCGCTGCACTCCCTCTCCATCCCTCTACTTCTCTTGTTTCCTGCGTCCTTTTCCCCGCTGACTTCAGCGAGTCTGCCACTCTACGGCCACTACTACAACTTTTGCCGATGACGACGCTGGCGGTGCGGCGCCGTGCGGTGTGCGCCCTGGCGCTCCT